CTTTTTTTTTTTATTAATAATAATAATTATTTAACATACACAACTACCGTTGATATAATCCGACGTACGAAGCTAACGTACCATCTGTATAAATTCCCGTTTACTACTACTACTACCGTCTGATTTGTTCAAAGAGCCTTGTTCTAGTTTTACGACAATATCTATACAACAACAACAACCACAACTACAACCAGTCAAGGTATTTTTGTTTACAGGTATCAGGTATTTTTTTAATCATACGAAATGTTTTCGCAGGTGAACGAAACTTTTTTTTTTTTCGTTTGTTTTCCGAGCGTTTCATTTTGCCCCATGATGATGTCTTTATGTCAATCATTACAACAATTATTATTATTATATTGATGTTATTTTTAATCGTCAATTTTTTTTTTGAATTAATAATAGATGTACGTATTTACGAATGAGTGGTAATTTTAATTTAATTAATCGGTAAATATTACTTTAATAATTTTTTTAAATAAATAATTTAAATTAAATTTAGTAATATTCCGCCATTTTGTTTTAAATAACTCAAATAACAAACAACGATATTTATTTATTTATTTTTTTTTTTGCATTTCACGTAATTTAACAAAAAAAAAATTAATAACTCTGCAGAAATTTGATTCTCTTTAAATTTAAAAACATAAACAAAACAAAAACAAAACAAAACTTATTATTTTTTATTTTTTATTTAAAAAATTTTTTCAGGTCCATCGAAAATACCCTACCTGATGTAAAAAAAAAATAAAATTATTCACAACAAATAATTAAAGTTATATAAAACGTGTTATTTAATTTAAAAAGTTGTTAGTCGAAACGTTGTGAATTTAAAAAATTTTCTCGGGAAAGAAAAACTTTTTATTACCTCTGTGATAAAATTTTTTGAGGTAGGTACCGCAATACTCAAACCGACTTCGGTAATCTTCTTCTCAATGAACGATTATTATTATTTTTTTTCCTTAGATAAAAAAAAAAATAAAAAACTTTACCGGTAATAATTTAATTTAAAAAAAAAATAAAAACAGGAAATTGTTAATGTCCAAAAAAAAAAGTTGAGAAACTTGTAGTAGTAATACATCTTGTTAATTTATATTTAAATCCTAAAAATTTAACGGTAAAAACATTTCATAGATATGAAAATATGTAATTATTAACTAAGTTACAAGTTAAATGATGAGCAACAAATTTTTTCTTCTTCTTCTTTTCTCTCCATTTTCTTCTTTAGCAATAACAAAAGTTACAACAACCACAACAACAACAACAACAAATGAATATAGAAAAAGTTTTATGTAAAATAACTTCTTTTTTTTTGCCTAAACGAAATTCAAACGTTTTTTAATTCATTAGAAAAAAAAAATAACTTTTGGCCTTATTATTACGTAATAATATAAAAAATAACTGTTTTCACTTTGTACGGGTCATAAGCCGAATTATTATTATTATTATTACTTTTTTTTAAATGTTAAATTATTATTATTACTAAATAAGGTTTTTTTTTTAATAATAATTTCCTTTGTTCGTATACGTGTCTTTATTATTATTATTATTAATTATAATCCTACGAACTGGAGAAGATGATAACCGTAAAACACCGTCGAGTAGTTTTTTTGTTTTCTCCAGACAAAAAAATTCCAGACGTTTTATTTTTCCAGTTGAGTTTCATCGTGAAAAGGTTTACTTAATTCGTATGATGTACGCAACGTATAAAAAAATTTTCCGCTTCTCAACGCTTCTCAAACAATTTTTTTTTTTATTTAGTAAATATGTAAAACAAACCAAAAATTTCGCACACGTGTTTGTGCGTGAGTGAATTCATGCGTACGAATGAGTGCATACGTGCGCGTACGTGTGATTTCAAAGGTGAAAGGTTAAGTTTAATTTTTACATTAAAATAATATGTGAGAAATTTAGCGAGAAAATTAGTCGAAAAGGTTTTGTTATTATAAAAATCATTTGTCTGATAAGGTTTTTGGGGGTTCATCTCAAACATGTGTTCTTGTATTGATTGATTGATTGATTGATTGGTTTTAACCGTAACTTTTTAAAATTTCGTTATTATTATTAATATTATTTTTACTAAAGTTTGATAAGACTAACTGAAATTTTTCCATCACGGCCGTCGTTTCCCCGCCAACATCATATTTAAAAAAAATTATTTATTTACTTATTTATTTTTTTTAAACGTGGCCAAATAATTTATTTGAAATCAATAATTAACTAACTATGATTTGAAATTTTAATTAAATCATTCTATTGACACGACATTAATCGAATTCTTACTAATAAAAAAAAAGTCTATAACTTGATTCGATCGATAAAAAAATTTCTAGTATTTTTCTCTCTAAGGTTTACTTTTAATTTAAAATATTTATAATAATAGTACACACGCACACACACACGCACACCTGAGAAAACTATCGAGTAACTAATTAAATAATAATAATAATAATAATAATAATATTAATTTATTAAATTAAATATTTATTGTTAAATAACAAAAAAAAAAAATTTTTCAAATGTTATTAATTCTTTTACTTCATTATTATTATCATCATCAAGCTATTTTTATGTGGTAGCTTTGTCATTGTTTAAATAAACAAATGGATTTTTTTTTTCCAAAGATTTTCATTCATCCCTTTTTCCCTCCCTCCCCCCAAGGTTTCCTATTGTTTCTCTTGCTGCGTTTTAAAAAAAGGGGGGTAGGTAGAAGAAGAGAAAAAACTCTTATAAAGCTTTTCTCCATTAAAAAAAATTTTCTTTGTATTCATTCATTTATTCAAAGGAATCCTTTTCCATTGACTATTATTATTATTATCATCACCTTCTTATGATAATCAATTTTTTCCAGTAAGTATTATTAATTGGTCATCAATAAGTTTTTTTATTTTTATTTTTTTAGTCATCTCAAAATGGTGGAAATTCCTTTTTTTTTGCTTATTCACTAGGATGTAAGTGACTAAACAAAAAAAAAAAAAAAAAAAATTTTTTTTTTAATATTATTAAAAACTCATTATTATTATTATTTAATATCATTTATTTATTTTATAATTAATGTTGAGAACGAAACAACAACAACAACAATGCGTTGTTCACGTTTTTTTTTTTTTGTCAATTTTAACGTTGGCATTGAAAATAATAATAAATAATCATTTGGGGAAGAGAAAAACATAATTTTTTTTTTTTTTTGGGGGGCCTTCGATTTGATCATTAAAAACTCGAAGATGTTCGATAGAGAATCGATCAATCGATTGATCGAAATAATAAAAAAAAAAAAAGGACGACATTGAATACAACAACAACATCCCTAATCAATTATCAACTTATCATTTTTTTTTCTTTATCCCGTTTTTATTATTATATGATTTTTTATTCTTTTTTCACATGTCATCCATTAATGACGTCAGTAGTAGTAGTAGTAGTGATAATAATAATAATAATAATAATAATAATAATAAATTAAAATAACACGAATTTAAAAAAAAAAAAAAAACGTTTTCCTTTTTTATTTATTTATTACTCACGTGTTTTTCTATTATTATTATTATTATTATTATTAATATTTACAATCGACAAAAACCAGGAAAAAAAATAAATTTTTATTTATTTACGTACGTAATTAATAATAATAATAATAATAATAATAATAATAATAATAATAATAATAATAATAATAATAGTGGGATGAGTAACATAAACGACTTTTTTTTTTTCAAAGTCGCTAGTGATTTAAAACAAATTATTTAATTTTTTTTTTTTTTTTTTTATGGAAACGAATTTTAATAATTTTATAATTTATTTAATTATTATTAATTATGTAGTCGTCGATGAGTCGGTCGGTCGGTCGGTCGAATGGGATTAATAAATAAATAAATAAAAAATTATTTAAATGATGAAAAATTTTAGCGTCGTCCATTTTCTTAAAAGGAAAATTTAAGGTTTATGATGAGGAAAAAACAATTAAATAATAATTATTAACGTACATAATTTTCTCTCTCTCTCTCTCTCTCTGTTTAATAAAAACTTTTTTTTTTTTATAAACACAACAAACAATTACACAACACGTATAATTAACATAAAAAATATATGTTCACACATTTTATTATTATTATTATTATTTATAATAAAGGTTAAAAAATTTTCTTTCGATGATTTTCTGTTTTTGTTTTTTTTTGTTCTTATCATTCGAATAAAAATTTCTCATGTATTATTTACGTTTGATGAATTATGTTTGTTTTTTCTACAAAGAAACAAACACACAAAACAACACAACAAACAGACAAACAAACATTTTAGTTAATTTTTTTTTTTTTATACGTTCATTACAAAAAATAATTAATTATTTTCTCATAATTTTTTTTTTTTAAATAGAAAAGCAACAACATTGTTAAATAATAATAATAATAATGATAATAATAATAATAATAATGATAATAATGATAATGATATGAGAGATGAATAGTTGTGTGAATGATTTTAACGATTTTAAATTGATAAAAATAATTTTGAATGAATGAATGAAGGAATGAATGAATAAATTTTTTTTTTTCTAATTAAATTACTACTCTTTAAACTCGTGATAGTGATGATGATGATAATGATGATGATTTACTAACATTTAAGTACCTAAACACGTACAAATACTAAAAAAAAAAAAAATTAGTTCTTAGAATTTTATAATATTGATACAAACAAAATATTTTTTTATGATAACGACGATAATTTTTTATTTTATTTTATTCCGGATTGTTGTTGTAGGGGGAGGGGTGTGGAACAGAGGGGAGGAAGGGGGACAAACAACAACCGATCATTATAAAATTATTATTAGAGATTCGAATAAGACGATGGGAAAAGGAAGGCAAATGAATAAATTGTTCCATTTTTTTTTTTTTCGTTTCCTCCGCGAAACGAGCGACCGGATATTTAAAAACGATGACGTCATCATCATCATCATCATCATCATAATCATAATCATCGGTCACTCAATAATGATAAATTTACTGTCAGACGGGAGTTTCAAATTTAACTTCTTTTTCTTTGTTGAATATTTTTTTTATATTTGTCGATTTTGTTCTTTTGAAAGGTGTAAAAGGTTGAATTGATGGAATTGACGATTGTATTTGCGGTGCTAAAACAGGCATGATGACCTAAAATAAATATAAATTAACGACATTAATTAAACCGAAAAAAAATTTTTTTTTTTTTATTAATAATTTAATGCAAAAGACGACGCAAAAAGGAAATGAACGAACGAACCTTTCGGTATAATTTTTAGGGATAAATGATACATATTCAAAATTTAAATTTTTATTACAATTATTCAATGTAAAGAAAGTTATAAAATGGAGGTTTTTAACCTTAAATGTCACCCGTAATATATTCATTTGAATAAATTCAACTCGTAATTATAATGATAATAATAATAATAGTAGAAGATAAAGAGCATAATGGTCGATTTATAAACATTCCAGAAAATTAGAAAAAACAAACTGGAATTATTTACTCTATGACAATATTATTTAAATATCGTAAAATTTATAAATATTATATTTATTTATGTTTTTTTTAGAGATAAAGAGAGAGTTAAAAACAAGCGTCGTCATTAAAAATAATAATAATAATTAACCTAATTGAAATTTTATTTGATTTTTTATTTGGAAAAAAAAAGAAAAGAAACTAAAATTTTTGGTAATTAGTATTTAAAAAAAAAAAAAAAAACATTTTGTTAATTATTTGTTGTCCTCTTTTTTATTGATTTTTTTTTTCTATTTTCGACGTTCATTCCAGTAACACATTTTTAGAAAAAAAAATTTATTACGTAATAATTTTTGTGGTAATTAGGGACAGAATTTAATTATCTGTTAAATATTTAAAAAAAAAAAAAAATTACCGGAACCAAAGCAACAGGAGCCGCTGGAGCCGGCGGTATACAAAATTGTCCAGATTCCGAAACAAATTGATTATATTTTCCACCGGAAGTAGAATTTTGTTTCAACGTGTTTGTATTTTGTATAACGTTTCGTTGTTCGACAAACGGATACTCTTTTGGAAACTGACTTGCGACAATAGGCATGTACAAATGAGCGTGTCTACTTTTAACAGTAGGTGAAGGAGCTGTCATGAATTTAATATAAAAATTAAAAATTCAAATGAAGTTTTAATATCATTTTTGGCATTCTCTCAATGAAAACGAAAGAAAAATTCCCCCCCCCCGTTACACGCACACACACACCCAAGATAATACAAACTTGTTCTGCAATTTTCGTCGACGTATTGATGACATTCATCGTTTTTAATTTTCCAAAATTCGCTTCTAACGTTTCCGTTACGTCCAGTATTAACAGCATCGAAGCTCAAACTTCTTATTAAATTTTTTTTACAGGCTTCGTTAAATTTTTCCGTTTTTGACAATCTTAAACCTCCTAAATGTTCATTTAAAGCGTATAATTTTTGTGTTATGTCTTTACCTGTTTAAAACAAACAAAAAAAATTTATTTAAATCACGTGGTGCAAAATTAAATTTCTTAATTGTTTTAAAAATTATTTAAATTCATGACGTCGACAAACTCTTGGTTAACAAAATACATGATACTATTAAGGAAATAATTTTTTTTTTTTTTCTGGCAACCATCATCATCATCATCATCTCGTGGTTATTTTTGATTCGGTTGTATTATCAAAATGAAGGACAAGGTTATTGCATATTTTTTACCTTAATAATAATAATAATAATATTTATATAAACAATTGAATTGTTGTTGTTGTTGTTCGCATAGAGACGCATTTTTTTTTGTTTTCTTCTCTTCAATTAAAGATTATTTATTTTAAATTAATTATTTTATTCAGTTGTTTTTTTGAAAAATTACCGAGGGGAAAGGGGGAAGGGGGGGCTTTTCCAATTTATATTTTTTTAAATAAATAAAATTGTCGCCGCCATATTGTTGAATTTTTTGTAGAGGAAAAACCCCTAACGAGAAATGTTATTTTATTGTTATTATTAATCATCAAATTTTTGTTTTTATTTTTAATCACGTGGTTTTAATAAATTTCTATCGTTTTATTATAATAATAATAATAATAATAATTTTCTCACCTATCATACTTTCAAAAACTTGTCGTAAAAGTGTTCTGTGCCTTAAAACTCTTTCCAATTTAAGTCTAGGCCAGCAAAGGTATAAACATTCTTCTTCTGCTTCGATCGTAACCTGAAACATTTAATATTATTATTATTAATCAATAAAAAAAAAAAAATTTGCAATATTTTTTTTTTGTTAAACGCGACTCCACCTTTTTTTTTTTTTTTAATAGTCACCGAATGTCCCTAAAGGTTTAAACTGGTTTTAATAAAAAAAAAAAAAAAGAAAAACGTTTTTGATAAAAAAAAAAAAAAAATGAAGGGCACGAGTATGGGAAAGTTTAATAAAAATAATTTTATGTTCGTGAACTTTCGTGAGAATGAATAAGAAAAAAAAAAATTAAACTGGAATAACAAGTTAAAAAAAAAAGGTAAATTTAAGTTTCCTTGTTTGTTGTTGTTGTTGTCGTTGTCGTCGATTGTCTGTAGGTCAATTATTCACCTAATTATAAACAAATATATGTCAAATTAAAAAAAAAAAAAAAGAAATTTTTTTTATTATTTAATAAATTACCTTTGATTACGTCATGAAATTGTTGTTAAGACAATTGCAGTAAGTTAATTTAAAAATATTAGACGTTTTGATTAACGATTTAAAAAAAAAAAAAAACCAATATGGCGGATTAATAAGTTAAAAAAATAAATAAATAAATATATAAATATTATTAAAGTTAGTAATTACCGACATCCTATAATATACTCGTTACATATCCGCACGTTTAACCTCGTTTTAATTTTTTTTGCAAACAAACAACAACAAACATCAAAGATAAAAAAAAAAAAAAAAATTTTGAAATTTACGTTTTATGACATAATGTGTTTTTATGTTTTTTTTTTCTAAAAAAACATATTTATGTTGTCATGTTTTGTATTTTTTTAAACATGCAGAAAATTTTTTTTTAATTAATTTTTTTTTTTTTTTTTTGAAAAAAAAATTTCGAAATGTTATTGATTTAAAAAAAAAAAATTTCATCAATCAATCAATCAATCATTCTTTTATGTAATTCAGGATGTTATTTAAATTATTATTATTATTATTATTATTATTAAAAAAAAAAAAAATTATTTATTTCGAATTATGTGATATTTTTTTTTTTTAATTGTTATAAATAATGGCAATATGGCGGAAATATCGTTGTAAAAACTTTTAATGACGTCATTTTTTAAATAATTTTTACCGTTAACAAATGACCGTTTTTTTTTTCATTATTTTTTAAAAATGAATTACCGCCAAAAAAAAAAAAAATTTTTTTTTTCTTGTATAACCTTTTTAACCATTTTTAATTAAAAAAAAACCGGAAATGATAAAGGAAACGAGTTAATGGCACACACCCCACCCGTAATGGAGTTTTTTTTTTTTTTTAAATAAATAAAAATAACCCAACTAAACAGTCATTAAATTAATAATAATAATAATAATAATAATAATAATAATTTGTAGAAGGATAAAGTTTTGCGGCAATGAGTTTCTTATTAATATTATTTTTTTTTTTTTTTAACGCGATGATGATGATGATGATGAATGTTTTGTTTGTTGTATAAATCGCACCCGAAAGGGGGGGAGCGAGGGGGGAAAAAACGCAACAACAAATGCGGTTTTAATGATTATTTAAATGACTCGAAAACATAATAAATTTAATGTTTTTATTTTTTAAAATTAAACATTGAAATAATTAAGTTTTTAATTTTTTTTTTTTTACTTAAAATTTAGTTTAAGTCACGTTTTTCACGTGTTGGTGGAATCCATCAATTTTATAAATTTGTTTTCGAGGGAAAACCTTGGTTTTGATAATAATACAAAAAAAAAAAAACAAGATTAAAATCATTCGTACCTGAAATTTACCAACATAACCGAATAAAAATATATATTATTTAGCGGTTTTATTAACTTATTATGTTTTTTTTTTTGGATTTAAATCTATATAAAAGTAAAAAAAAAAATGGTGAAAAAAAAAATTTATCAAACTGCCCAGCCTTGATTTAAATAAGCAAAAAAAAAAAAAAAAAACAAGAAATCCTTCGCTGCGTTTCGAATGATGTATTGTTATTATTATTATTATTATTTAAAAATATTACCACCGTTAGATTTATCATTATTATTATTATTATTAATTAATTAACCTCCCTCCGGTATCACGTTTTATGTGATTGAAAGAGTGAAAGGAACGTCGCGAAACGATAGGAAAATGTAAAAAAAAATTTATTAAATTCCCCGAATTAATTTTTAAATCGGAATTTTCAAATGAAAATCAAATGAAATTTGATAAGTGGGGAGGGGGGACGGAAATGGGGAGATGGGGGAGAGAGAGAAAATACCTGAAATAAATCCGCACTCCATTCGTGGAAAGCTTCCCATTCTGGAGAATCAATAAATTGATATGGATGAATGTAATGAAGATGAGCATCGTCGCAAGTAACCTTTAACCTGTAAATAATACTAATATTATTATCATCATCATTTTTCTTTTTGTTTTATTATTAAGTGGGAAGCAGAAGGTTTTTTTTTTCGATTGACTACTTTATAAAGTAGTTATCATTATTATAAATGGAAACCTTTCTCTTTTTTTTTTAAAGGGAATTTATAAATGGTTGCCGAGATCGAATTATCCAGTAAAAAACTTGTTTGTATCGAAAAAGAATGCAGCATATTAATAATAATACTAATAATACTAATAATAATAATAATAATAATAATAATAATAATAATAATGATGATGATAATAATAATAATAATAATAATAATAATAATAATAATAACTACTGAAATATTTTTGTAAAAAAAAAAAGGAAATGAATCCGGGTAATTTTTATCCAAAAGCAAAAAAAACTACAACGTTTGATTTTTCCCTTTACGGTTAAATAGAAGTAATTCGAAAGTGTTTTCACATTATTATTATTATCACTATTATTATTATTGATTTTTCACGTTGGAAAAAATAAAGTAACTCCATAACATCCGGTTGAAAAAAAAATTTTTAATAAATTATTTTTATTTAAACCAATAGAAAATTTTTTTAAAAAAAAACTAAAAGGGAAAATTTTTTTTAAAAGTAGGTTTAATTTCCGGTTAAAAAAAACGTTAAAAAAAATTTTTTTTTCTCGTTATTTAAAATTAAACGGTCTACTAGCAGAAGACATTTATTTATTTATTTATTTTTCAAAAGTTTTTAAACAGACGAATAAAACGAACGTCCTTGTTTAAATATTTTTTCCTCCCTAATGTTTATAATTATTATTTTATTTAATAAATAAAACAATTCTTTTGTTATTCTAAACTCATTTATTTAATTTTAAATTAATAATAATAATAATAATAATAATAATAATAATAATAATAATGATAATAATAATAATAATAATAATAATAATAATAATAATAATAATAATAATATCGGAATTTAAATTTTATTTAAACAATCGAACAAATAAAATTCGTTTCGATAAAAAAAAAAATTTAATAATAATGAACCGTTTCTTTAAACAATAAACAATAAAAAAAATATTTAATTATAAATTATTTCATATATATATATTGTTTGTTTTCGTGATTAAATATATATATTTATTTTAATTGAAATAATAATAATAATAATGGTTAATTAGATCATTACGGTTTGTTTATAAAAAATAAAAAAAATCCGTTAAAAAATTTAATTAAGTTGTCTCTCTCTCGTTGACGAAATATTTAGAAATATTTATATTAATTAAATTACGTAATTAAAAAGGGTAATTTTTAACCGGATTTTTCATACGGCCAATCCCTCACTTATATAAAAATAATAATAATAATAATAATAATATTTTGATAACTTACTTTCCACGTAAAAGAATTGATAATTTTTCATCGGCTGGAGTGACGTCTTCGACGGCATAAGTGTCGCCTATTTGAAGTT